ACAGAATTGTTTGAATTAGGGTGTTCACAGTTGTATTAAGATGATTAATTATCACAGACATGCCACAGAGATATCTTGCCAGCAGTTGTTGGAACAGCTATTCCCTGCTGGACTGAAAACTTTAAGGCAGATAAAACTTCACACGGCATGGCAGATGCAGCCTTCCACATCCCAGATTGCAGGAAGTGACAAAGGCCTCATTTTGATGCCAGGAGAGACGGTCACAATTATGCAGGAGGTGTGCTGCCTTGGAGGAGCTGTGCTATCAGGTGGAGGTATTAATAGAAGAAGTGAGTAATCTTCATAGCATCAGAAAAGATGGGAGGTTTATGGAATCTTCTTTGTGATGCAGTAATTTTAAGACTGTAAGATCCCAAATAAATAAGGGAAGCTAAGTGTCCATCCTCATTGCTGGTCTATATGTAACCCCTGTAGAAAGGAAAGTATGGAAGCTGGTACCAAGAGGAAGACTCCTGCCCCATCCAAGGGCTTACACCTACAAAGGGGTTCACTGCTCTCAGTGTAGAATAGAAGCCAAAGTCTGGACCCTTAAACCTAAACCATGCAAGAACATCAGGAAGGAATGACGTGTCCTAGAATCATAGAATGGTTTGAGTTGGAAGGTACCTTAAAAATAATCTCATTCTAAATTCCATGTTGTGAGCAGGATTGCCACTCAGGATGCTCAGGATGGCTCAGAATGGGCAGGGCCTTATCCAAATTTGGTCTGAACACTTCTAGTGATAGGCCATCCACTACTTAGGCATCTGTTCCAGTGACTGCAAGTGACATCCAATTTAAATCTCCCTTCTTTTAGTTTGAAACTATTCCCACTTGTCTTATCACTATCAGATCACGTAAAAAGTAATTCTCTATCTTGCTTATGAGCTCCATTTAAGTAATGAAAGGCAGCAAGGAGGTCTTCCTGGAACCTTCTCTTCCCCAGATTGGACAAGCAGAGATCTCTCAGCCTTTATTTGTTGGAGAGGTGTTCTAGCTCTCTGATTAACTTTGTGGCTCTCCTCTGGACTCACCTCAATAGTTCAATGTCTTTCTTCTCCTGAGGGCTCCAGGCATGGATGTCTTGGCAACTACATCATCCAGTTTCTTCAGGACTCTGGGATGCATGTTCTCAGAGCCAATGGACTTGTTCAGTTTCATCAGGTGATCTTGAGCCTCCTCTTTGCTTACGATGTGAGGTATTTTGCTCCCCCAAACCATATCTAGAGGTTCAGAGACATGAGAGGCATGGGAAACCTGATTGCCAGTGAAGACAAAGAACTCGTTGAGTACCTCAGCCTTTTCCATGTCTGTTGATGTTGACATGCGGAATCAAACTCTATAACCACAGAATAGTCATAAAGCAGGTATGTTTACTCTGAGCTGCATACCCATGCTGGATGCAGAGGGGGTATTCCCAACTACTCTGAGTACCAGAGGGCAAGAAAGGCACATATCTAAAGAACAAGCTGCTTACATATGCATTAGATTTCCAAGGAAAGCTTAGGTTATTATGATTAGTCCCCAGAGTGGCTGACATTTTCCCCATTCTGAGTCTCAGTTCTTTTGTGCATGCATGGTATCTCTTGGTGGTTGTCTGGTGGTCTTTTCTGATGTAGGCCATATGTCTTTCTTGCTGTGCACTCTTTGACCTGGGTCAAGGTGGAGGATGCTGACTTAGCTCTAGCTGGCCATCTTATTGGCTACAACTCTGTCCACCAATCCTTTGCTTCTTCATTAATTTGTGGTTTTACTGTCTGAGCCTGCTACCTTGCATTCCAGAGATATGATAGCCAACAATATGAGCAGGAGAAGGGGAAATGGTTTTTAATTGAGGGAGGGAAGATTTAGGTTGGAGGTCAGGGGGAAGTTCTTCACAGAGTGGTGAGGTGCTGGAACAGCTGCCCAGAGAGGCTATAGATGCTCCATCCCTGGAGATGTTCAAGGCCAGGTTGGATGGGGCTCTGGGCATCCTGATCTAGTATTAAATGGGGAGGTTGGTGGCCCTGCCTGTGGCAGAGGGGTTGGAGATTCATGATCCTTGAGGTCCCTTCCAACCCTGGCCATTCTGTGATTCTGTTATTCTGTATATTATTTGGAGAAACAGGAGACTCACTGTCTGTACTGATTGTCTAAGTCAATACCACCAATACAGGCTGGGGGATGACCTGCTGGAGAGGAGCTCTGCAGAGAGGGACCTGGGTGTCTTGGTGGACTACAGGTTGGCCATGAGCCAGCAGTGTGCCCTTGTGGCCAAAAGGGCCAATGGCATTCTGGGGTGCATTAAAAAGAGTGTGTCCAGTAGGTTGAGGGAGGTGATCTTCCCCCTCTACTCTGCCCTGGTAAGGCCTCATCTGGAGAACTGTGTCCAGTTCTGGGCTCCCCAGTACAAAAAAGACAGGGACCTCTTGGAAAGAGTCCAGCGGAGGGCCACAGAGATGGTGAAGGGCCTGGAGCATCTCCCTACGGAGAAAGGCTGAGTGCACTGGGTCTGCTTAGCCTTGAGAAAAGACGACTGAGAGGGGATCTAATCCAGGTTTATAAATATCTGAGGTGTGGGGGCCATAGTGGTGACGCGAGTCTCTTTTCAGTGATACGTGGAGACAGGACAAGGGGAAATGGACATAAGCTG